TCCCTCTTGTTGCTCAGACTTTGCACCGAGCTGGCTAATCGTGTCTGAACAAAATGCCCTCGTTGCTGCTGTCCCCTGTGTGTGACCTGGGTGTTTCATGTTGGGGAAGGACGGAGTAGTGGTCGGCACAGCTTGTGTGAAGTGAGCAACATCCCAGGTGCTGCTCCAAAAACAGGACAGCCTTGGTGTATTCACCTCCTTGAGTGCTGTCTTGTCCCCTGTTCCCTGGGAGATGGGCTCCAGCCCTTGGCATTTTGCTGGTGGGCAGCATCTTGTGCAGAGTTTTGTGGCTCTTTGGCTGCTTCCCACCACTGTGGCTGCTCTGGAGCCCGAGATGAGGCTGCAGCTGAGTGTGTCCTTGTGCACCGGGGGTCACCTTGGGCTCCTCTGCTTCCTCCTAGGTCTTTGGCACCAACGTGATGGTGACTGTTGCCAAATCGTTTGAGGCCCCAATAAAACGTGAGTAGATGGGGACACGGGGACTGTCCTTTCTCCTGCACGCTCTGCCCTGTGCATCCTCTGCCTTGCTGGCAACAGCTTCTCCTTCTGGAGTTCTGCTCGGGAAGTGGGATCTCATGCAGGAAGGTGCTGTTGGAAGGCTCCTTGCTGCTGACCTGTTAGGCACTGAACAGTGCCATCAAACTGCAGCGAGCCTGACCCAGCCCTGGGCGCTGGGTTAGCAGCCCTGGAGATGGGGATCTCGGCTGCCCAGGGCGGCCCTGAAGGCAAGAGGAGACTTGGGGCTGTTGTGGGGAAGGCAGCGTTTGAGAGCTGGGAGCCGCAGCTGGGAGTGTGGGGCAGGGCCGGGATCCCTCCCTTCCCTGTCGCGGTGCCCAGGGCTGGCCCGGGAGGGAGGCTGAGGGGATCTGCAGGTGAGAGGGTGGCCGAGGGCACCGGGAGGGCCCTGGGCCCGCTTGGATCCCTTGTCACCAGCCCTGAGGTCTCTGTGCAGGGAGCCTTCCCCCTCAGTGTGCCTCTCTCTGCTCCTCCTAGTGGTTTTTCCTCAGGACCTGCTGGAGAAGGGTCTCGAGGCCGACAACTTTGCCATGCTCGGTCTGGGAGACATTGTCATTCCAGGTACGGATGGACGAGGGGATGCCGTGCGGGGTCACCAGCCTGGCGCGGCTGTGGGGAGCTGGGTGGGTGGCTTGGAGTGCCCTGGTTGCCCTGCTCTGCCTCGGGGCCCCGTGGGCCTCCCGGTGCTGGTTCTCAGCACCGCGCAGGGCCGGGCGCCGGGGCTGGCTGCTCACGGTGCCACGTGCCGCGAGAGGGCACTGTGAGCCCAGGCACGGCCACACAGAGCGTGGGGAGTCACCGGCTCCGGCTGCTGCCTTGGCCCTGCTCTGCCCCGTCTCCAGCTCTCCCTGTGCCACCTCCTCACCCTGCTCTGCCCCGTCTCCAGCTCTCCCTGTTCCATTTCCTCACCCTGCTCTGCCCCATCTCCAGCTCTCACTGTGTCCTTCTCCCCACAGGGATTTTCATCGCCTTGCTGTTGCGCTTCGACATCAGGTGAGCAGGTGACAGGGAAGGGTCTGTAACTGGCTGGATGTTGCAGCGTATTTGAGCTGTCCTTTGTAGAGGAAAAGGAGCGGGAAGCAGAGTTGTGTGCTGTCACCTGGGGCTCGGCACGG